TTTATGATCGTATTGGTACAACACGGTGTTATGATTACAGCTCACAGCTTGTCCCAGCTTGTTACGGTTGTTACAGTTGTTACAGTTATTACGGTTGTTATGGGATTACGGGTGTAGCCTTAGCTACCAAGGTTACAACTGCTAAGCAGACAACTGTATGTTATAAGGAATAGCCTCACCTTCCTTCCTTCTTCTTCTTCTTCTCTCTTTAGATTCAATCTAGATTACTTTTCCTGGACTGGCATCATGACCTCTATGACCATCATAACACACGGGAGGTTCTTCTCACCATGGACAACTTTTCAGCACATATCAAGGCCCTCAAATCGACACCACCCCCTGCGAATATCCGAGTTATCTGGCTTCCTCCAAATGCAACAAGTCAATTTCAAGCCCTAGATCAAGGTATCATTGTGTCATACTGACATTCGTTGCACTCAGTTTGCTATCAAACTCAAGAGCAAACTTAGAAATCTCCTCCTCAAACCTACAAGTCACTATACATATTTTAGCTTATCACACCAACAACAAGAGAAATACTACTCAACGATTGCTACAACCCTCTATGATTCATTACACGTCATTGCTCCTTAGTTACTGGCTGATATGACCACATAGCATATCTCTACAACCCTCTATGATTCATTACATGACATCACTCCTTCGTTACTGGGCTAATACTACACATGACATATCTCTATCAACTAGAGGCCTAGGATCATGAGCGATAGCTCCAAAAGCTTCTACAACCCTCTATGATTCATTACACGTCATCGCTCCTTAGTTACCTACAAGATTGGTTAAGTTATGACATAATCTGTCTATAGGGGTACTCTGACCTTGGACCTCCTTTCACTTCCTATAGGCTAGGAACCTAGGAGATGGTTCTATGGGATTCTCTTACGTCGACTACAGTTACCAAGCCTGGTTAGTCATGGAAAGTCTTGGAAAATGAGATAACTACACTCCTTTAGCATAAATAGGATTGCCCTTTCCTTAAGAAAGGGCAAGCAGACAATACAGTAAATCGACTATCACATACTTCCACGTCTTTTCCAAGCTTCCAAGCATTGATCTTGTTACTCCTTGTTTCTGAAAAGTCAGTGAGGTGCTAACCTCTGACTTATCCCTGAGTTCTCAGACTCAACATTTGTTACAACTTGTCTAAACCACTCCACTACATCATACACCTTGATTGCTGCGTTGTGGAATAGTCTAAGCTACGAGCCTTTGGCTCTTTTTCCTAAGACAGTGTGTTGTCTTAGTAAAATCATCCCTTCCTTGGGTGGCTAAATTCTCACATCTGGTGCACCCACCATTACAACACGCATGGTGAACATTGAGCGTAAGATGCAGCTCCGTGCTGGCATCGATGCATGGAAGGCAGAACGTACATGGAAAAAGGACCTACATGAATTTCAAAAAAGTAACCTAGACACAGAGCCACCAATTGGCTTACATACAAAAATCATTGACCCGGACGTTACACAGAAGAAACGTAAGGAGAAGGAGGAGGAGGACCGACTGTTAGCCATCGAGGATAGTGGGTACGTGAACTTTGCAGGCTTGGACTACGACATGATTCACGATGCAAGTGACGGTGGCAGTAATGATCAATCACTACCTCCTGACAATATTGATCCAAATCTTTATTAATTATTTAATTCTATAACGTATAACGAAAGTGCCAAACAAGCGAAAGTGCCAAAATATCGCGACTACCCCATAAGAATTGCGATAAATCCACCACAACAATATAAATTAATTAAAACTACTCAGAGTCCTCTTCCTCAGACCTGTCTATTACAATCTGACAAGTGCGCGCATTGTGTCCAGTCTCACCACACTTGCCACAGCGACGTGCATGGGTTTCTTCCCTTGGCTTCCGACCACTACTTGCCCTTATTTCTTGCTCTACTTGCTGCACAATGTCCCTCTCGTCCTGTAGCTCCTGTGCTACCTGTTGACTAAGTGATCCTCCTTGCTGTAGTCGTGTTTTTTTAGCTCTCCAGCGCTTGCTTAGCACTTCATTTGCCTGTCGCAGGTTTTGGTTCTCTGCTTTTAACAATGCTAATTGATGCATTATTTGCGATGCACCCTTTGTAAACTGGTCAACAGCTGCATAGATTGAGGTTGGAGAGCTATTTTGATGATGCGCAATTCAGTTTTTAATGAAAGTAGACTGTGATACAGCTTCAGTTGGGTTATTTGGTGTCTGAGAAACCCATGGTTGAGCGGTGTTTGGGCGAGAGGTTGGAGGTGTTGGAGGTGTTGGCGTCTTAAACCTAAGGTCAAGTGTAGATATTACACTCTCAGGGCTAAATGGAAGAAGCCCAGCACCTCGGAACCCTCCCTGAATATTGCTTTCTGTCATTGCAATGTTAAATGCAGCGTGGAAGGCAGGAAAGAAGTCATCCTTAGTAATGTGAATAATATGAGCCCGCATCATATCTTCAATTTGCCAACCGTAAGCTCTCTTTAATGGGCCAAAACAGCCAACATCAAGTGGTTGGAGTATATGGGAAGAGTGAGCAGGCATACAAAGCGTAATAATGTTGTGTTCTTTGCAGTACTCCTCAAACTTGTCTGAGTGGTGGCTCTCATGACCATCAAGGACTAACAAGCGATAACCACCAACACTCCGGGGCTTTGTGTGCTTCTCAAAATGCTGAATCCAATCCATACCTCTCTCGTTTGTAGTCCAGCCATTTGCAGTAACAGCGATTACCCAATCTGCTGGAAATCCGCTATTCTCATACCAAGATGCAAGGTGGTTTTTACCTGCCACAATGACAAATGGCGGCACTGCCCAACCTTGAGAACTAACGCCTTGGATTACTGTAACCCATTCCCGATTGCCAGGCTGCACCTTTTTTGCCTTTGCCCGCCCATCTGAGCTCGTTACTACCGTTGCGCTTGAGATGACGCCCATCATAAACCCAGTCTCATCAAAGTTGTAGATATCTGCATTGTTGATGCCATACTTTAGAATTTTGTTCTATACAAGCTCAAACCAGCCACGAATGACTTCTGTATCTTCGCACTTAGCCCTCTGGTAGTCGTATTTTCGCTGGAAGCGTGTCCGGAGCTCTACATGGCGCTTAACAAAGTTTGAAGCCCAACGTGACCCGACGCGTGGCGCGTCACGTGTTGCAAGTAGTCAATTTGCCATATCTTCAACAATAGACAACTGAGGAGGGAACCCTTTAGCAGCTAAGTCAAGTATATACTGAACAAGAACTGATTCCTCTAGGTTACTTAATTTCCGTAAGTTGGCTTGGATATCGCGTCGTGAAGGTACGCCTTGTAAACAGTGACGTAGCTTGCGGTGGTCTACGGAATAGATCCTAGCTGCAACTCGAAGGTGCAAATTTGGGTTGCTTTGCATAGCTTGGATAGCTAGCACTAATTTGCTTTCATCATTTTTATGGCGCATGTTTTATTGTGGAGGAATTTAACATTTAGTTGGGGGGGTTGGTCACCGCATGATTTTGGCATTTTCGCTTGTTTGGCACTTTCGTTATACATGCACGTTAATTTATATATATTTACAGCATTGTTACGTTGTTGGTCATGTTCATGGTTGGTCATGTCACGTCGCGAGTCCGCTCCCGAAGTGTCCCATAATCACTTTCACGTCCCAGTTCGCTTTCGCCAACCGCCTCCAGGCTGTGGTTTGAGAACCAACGATTATTCATTTCATTTCTTAGGATTTTTAGGTCACGTGACTTATGATTACATGACTTGTACTCATCTAACTCATGAGTTGAGAACACAGAACTCAAACTCATGAATTTGAGTCTGTACTTAAACTCGTGAGTTTGAGTTACTCACCAACTCATGAGTAGGATGATTTTAATGAGTTTTATTGCTAACCCTGAAGATAACGTGTGTTGGAGTTGAAAGGTAGAAGGGTTACGAAAAGTGTCCAGGTCATGATATGTCTAGGGTGGTCATAATAAACCACATTATATCTTTATAATTAAGAGTTATTATATTTGTAAATATATATATTATTAGTTTATTACTAATCTATTAAGTCTATTCTATAGCTATTCTACTCTACTATGAATTACTTTATTAATTTGGCCCGTTTCATGATTCTGGGTTTGCTTACGTAGCCGCTTACAAATCCAAGGGGGGGTTAGTATTCGGATGCTGGTGTCCGTACTCCGTATACTAGAACTCGTTCACAACCACTTTGACTAGCGCGGATGACTAATTAGCGTGTGCCGCGGTTAAAAGTGTTCAATTTTTCGGCTTGGTATTGTTTTGAAGAGGATCAAAAATATTCAGACTCGTCAAACTCTGTGATTGAGAATCCAATACACATTTGACGGAGACAAAGTCTCTTCTTTATAGATGAATATGTGGACTATAAAGTTTTACATTGATATAGGTTTGCTATCCGTACTTACACGTCTCAATACCTCAGCCACATAGTCACACAGTGTGATGCAGCGCCTTGATCAGTCACTCAGCTTCTCGAAAGCAAACAAATGAGATCTTCTCCGGAAGACCCAGTGTTCTTGTTCACGTCTTGTGTCGGGTTCATTTGGGGATTGAAAAGGGGGCTGGTCTTCGGATCGGCCCTCCATAGAGGGAATTGCTGCTATAGCGAAAAGAACCTTCATAGTCCATTCTCTTACTCCTTGCGAGCATCCTACAGGAGAGTGGCTCCTTGTGACCTACATACTCCAGTAACAGAATATATAATATATAATACAGCGTTTGTTTTCGCATATGTGCTTTCGTTGATGTGTGGTGTGAACTGCCGACATGATAGGACTCCACGTTCCTGACTTGGTCCCTTGATAAAGGAACAACGTCATACCCTATGCATATAGCTTTCCTGTATTCGTTCTCGACAACAATAACTATCTGACATAGTAATGTTGTAAATACCATATCACCCTCTCAACAAGGCGTATATAGTATCTCGGGTTCGAATATCCGTCCGTTGCTATCCTTCAATCCCGCTGACTGCCCAATACTCCACCATGCCTCCATCCAAGGACCATTCCTCCAAATTCTCCCACCTCCCTCTTACCACCTCTGGCCCTCAAGACTGTGCCGTTAGTGGCTCGGCTCTTCCCAATACTCCCTATTTCGCATAATGTGCAAACATTGGAGCAGCAGGTGCAGAGAGCGTACCAGCAGTATTCCGAACTGCAGGACGACTTGGCAAAGAATACATTTATGACGAGTATGAAGACCAGAATGGGGTGCTTTTCTATCGGGTTTGTCTTCTTTCCATAATGTCGCAACGCATTGGAATCACATGATGCCAGCCTATAATACCAGCCCCTTCCAGCTACCCCTCCTGCGACGCAAATCTAACATTCTCGAGCTCATTCAAGATCATATCAAAGAAATGTATCCAATAATATACACTCCCACTGAAGGCACAACAATCCAGAATTTCTCCCGCATCTTTCGCCGTCCCGAAGGTTGTTTCCTCAACATCGGTGATACCGACCGTGTCTACCACGATCTCGCCCAATGGGGCGAGCCACAAGACATTGACTACATTGTCGTTACTGACGGTGAAGAGATCCTTGGTATTGGTGACCAGGGGATGGGGGGGGTTCTGATCTCCATCGCCAAGCTGGTTCTAACTACGCTCTGTGCGGGTATCCATGCAAACCGTACATTGGCTGTGGGACTCGACTACGGTACTGATAACGAGAAGCTTCGCAATAATGACTTATACCTCGGGTTAAAACACCCGAGGGTCAGGGGCGAGAAGTATGAGAAATTTGTTGAGACCTTCGTTCAATCTGCGAGGAAGCTCTATCCGAAAGCGTACATATATTTTGAAGATTTTGGCCTGCCAAATGGTTAGTAATTCCTCGTTCTGCTTATCAAGGCTATGTTGGTATTGAGAAGGACATTTAAACGCTCCCTGCAACCCATGAGTTCAGCCGTGAAAGAATAGAGGCTAATTATGGGTAGCACGGAGAATATTAGACAAGTACCGCCCGACGATGGCTTGCTTCAATGACGACGTGCAAGGCACTGCGTCACTTTGGCTGCCATCATGGCAGGACTGCATGTCTCTAAGACAAACTTAGAAGATTTGAAAGTGGTGATTTTTGGTGCTGGCACCGCAGGAACGGGTGTTGCAGACCAAATCCGAGACGCCATTGCAACTGAGAGTGGAAAATCTAAAGAAGAAGCCGCCAAGCATATATGGTAACCAATATCCACATGCTACATGCGCTGAGATATACTGACCAAGATAGGTACGTGGATAAACCAGGCCTACTTCTAAAGCGCCACGGTGACTATCTCTTCGGTGAAGCTGCCGGGTTTTGTGGAGGTCCGATGAGGACGTGGGGTTTCACGGCTTTGATTACGGAGAGGAGATCGATGTCTTTGTCGCTGTCCCATTCTGAGTCGTCACGCGCGTAGGGCTTTTGTGCGGAGTTGAGCTTGTCCCATGTCTCACGCCCCATTATATTCCCCCTTCTCCAACCCCACGTCCCTCCATGAAGCCAACCCCGCCGACCTCAACGCTTGGACCGATGGGAAAGTCCTACTAGCGACTGGCTCGCCCTTCCCATGACGCACAATGGCACCACTCGCGATGTGACGGAATGCAATAACGCGCTTGTCTTCCCCAGCATTGGATTGGGTGCAGTTCTCAGCCGCGCCTGTTGAGCGATAAGATGCTTGTGGCAGCCGCGAAGGCGCTCAGCGCGCAATCACCCGCTATGAAGGACCCCGCGCGTCCGCTGCTGCCGGATGTGGAGGATGTGAGGGAAGTCAGTGTGCAGATTGCGATAGCGGTGGTGAGGCAGGCGGTTGAGTAGGGGTTGGCGAGGGAGGAGGGCATTCCAGAGGATGAGATGAGCTGGATGAGTGGATTCGAGTACAGATGTGGAAGCCGGTGTAAAGGCCGCTGAGAAAGGTGTCGAAAGAGGTTGCGAGTAGGGATGCGAGTGGGGAGATGGGTATTGCTGGGTCGGTCGCGCAGGACTGAAGGTATATTTTTCTTTTCAATTCACTGACGGCCTTTCATATTCACCTAAGCTTGGACTCGTGCGTGAATATATCACATATATCAGAAGATCAAGTGCCATTTCGTCGGCAAGACTGTTACCGAATATTATACCAGCCAGTCACCCAATAATTACGCTATACTCTGAGGAGATATACTCATGTGACTTACTTGCAGCAGCTGTTGTGTCCAAAGTAGTAGCTAAAGTTTGACGTCAATCCGCTAGCCTCAGGTCCGCGCCCTGTTCCTGAAACTCTAAATCAAGCGGAATCCTGGGACGGCCAGAAGGCGAGGTGCGGGTGTTGCTCAGTGCATATGATATTGAACGAGAATGCAAGGATAAAGAGAACAGACACCGGAGGTGAGAGCGGATCCATTTTGTAGGCGGTGATTCCCAAAGAGACTGAGCTATCTCTGTAAGCTCACCACAGCAGCTGGAGATGTCAGTAATGGGGTTCATAGAGTTAGCCCCATTTCGTGATGATTATCTGAGAGCTAGAGGGTACTAATTGACACCGGCAGAGGTATAATAATAATTAGAGCGTTTAGTGTGAAGCCTAAATGTCGAATCAGGGGAAGTGGCCTTGTAGTTCCACGCCAATAGCTTCGTCGGCGGCCTCGGCGAGTTGATCGGGCTATCATTTTTGCTTTCAACACAAATATTTGACACCTTTTAGATGTGTACCACGTGTATTTCGAGCCTCGAAGAACAAGTTATGCCACAAAGTGTCCCAGATGATTCTATTTCTGCGTGCCAGGTTCTGGGTTGTACCTCATACTGTAAGGACTGATGGTATCAAGACCGCCAAAGTAAAAACAATACAAACCTGGTTCTTACTTTGCTCCCAATAGCCATGTATCCTCACCGCATAAAGCTGCCCATTAGCGGTCCGCAAAAATGCCCATCCCAACCGCCGCTGCGTCCAAGAACGCCCCATGGAAGTCCGTAACCGACTGGGTCATCGCCAAAATTGTTGATACTGGTGGAAGATCAAACTCACCCACTGCCACCGCTGCTGAGCCTGTGTGCTGCCTCATCCACACCGTAGCCAACCCAATTCTGGACGCGGCTCTTCTCGATGGGATCAAGCGCCATCACTTTCTCGCAGGTGGGAGAATGTCTAAATTCCTCACTGTCCCATGCGCCCAGGCAGCCCGTCTCTTCTACAAATTTACCAAATACTGCGGTAGTATCATCCGCAACCCCAACAACCGACTTGATAGGAATCTTCCCGATTTCTTTGCGCCTGTTAGCAGCGGTAGGACGGAGCAGAGGTGGAGGGAGATGACGGGGGCGGAGCTTGAGAAGGCGGGATTTGCGTATGGGGAGGATCTTGGGGTGTTGGAGATGCAGGGGATGAAGTTGATGGGGTGCGTGGCTGAGGTGGAGGATGATGAGTAGACAGAAGCGATCGAGGCCATGTGGAAGGCGGAGACTGGGATTGTCCGCTCCACAGCATCGATGTTGTAACAAGGATACACACTTAAGCCCAATCTATAAAATACTCTCAATTATTACAAATAACAAGTTGTTCTGAGGGAGATAATATTATGACGCGTAAAGGAAGCTTGCGGAAAGGAAACTAATGTGGACGAAGCGCGATCTCCGCACTTACCTATCTCCGCACCTGCTCCATGTATGAGAATTAGGTGACACTTTGGGGCGGAGACCGACAGTATAAAGATGTTTCTTCTACCTTATAATCAACTATGACATAAATGTGCTTTAAGAGGAACCTCTAATAAAATCACAATACTCGTATTTTCGTAAGGGAAACAAAATCAAAGCCACAGTTGAAACTGTGAAATAAAATGACGTTTAATAATCAACAAAATGGCCTCCAAGCGGACAACCCTGTCCGGATAGAAACGGGGCCATACATAAATGGAGAGGTAGGCGAAGCTTTGGTTCTACTCTAAATTAATAAAAACTTCCGGTTTCTAGTTTGTGGAATCCTCCGACAAAAAGACATTTAAACTCTACTCTCCTGCAACGCATGAGCTGCTTCCTGAAGGTTGGTTTCTTTTTTTTTCACCAATAGGCAGTCTTATTCTGACATTTTGTAGTTTACGAAGCAAGTATTGAGGACACCAACCAAGCGGTTGCCGCGGCCAAAATTGCCCAGCCAGCATGGCCAAAGCTGTCCCCAATTCAGCGTGGGGAGCCTATTAAGCTCTCTATGGATATTCTGTCTGATTTGTGCTTTGGGAAATGTTTTGATACCTTGAACAGTGAGAATAAACGGGATCTCATTCTTGAGGCATGGAGAAATCTGCTCAGATGGTTTTAAGCTAGGCTATTTATCCCTTTGGCCGCGGGTTCACACAACTAAATGGTTTTAAGGAAGGAACTATGCACAGATGGCCAAAACGTATCTGGGATTATTCACTCCAAGGAAGATGTAGTGAAACGAAAATACGTCTACCAGGATGTTTATACAGAAGCCACAACACCACCCTCCATCCGATCGGCTTAGCCATGTTCAGTGATATTAATCGGTGTCAAACAACATAGAAAGCTATTGGAGCAATGATGGAACGCATACAGAGAGGAGACGAAGGTGGTGAACGAGGCGACATCTTTTCCAACCTTCTCCACGCGAAACAACTGGAAACTGGAGAGCCATACAATCAGCGCGAGTTGATGGGCGAAGCGATTCTCCTCCTGTTTGTCTATCCTATTTAGAAAACCAATCATTGCACAAGCCTTCGAATTGGAACTGACAGAATTATAGTGTGGCAGGTTCTGATACGACTTCTACTGCATTGACAGTGATCATCTGGCATCATATGGCAAACCCAGAAACTTTGCAGAAGTTGACCAGTGAAATCTGTGGAACATTCAGCTCCGTTGAAGCCACAACCTACCACATGAGATCGGAGTTCGTGACAACTTCGAAACGAGAGCTTTCCAATTTTACCCCTATGTTTTGCAACTGCTAATGAAGTCTCTTCACGTATATCAAGCTTAAACTGTCATTCACCAACCCCGAGATGGAGTTACAGGATGGATTCGATGTTGAAGATACGTTTGTTGCACTAAAACCCAAGGTCCGGGTACAAGTGGCAAAGGTCTGAGGTTCACGCAGAGGGAGTGGCACCTCGTAGGCGGTTGAAGAGGCTGCTTAATTAATAAGTTATCGAAGCTATCCCCAAGCTCTCAGCGACAGTTTGTTGTGCATGGTCACTCCCGCACTTGCCCTTATTCGCGCTTATCCTCAGTCGCACCTGCCTTCGTTGGCGCCTGTCCCTACGCGCACACCTTCCCTCGGAAACTCAAAATCACAAGCAATAAAAAAGACCACTCAATGCCGTTCCTTCGTCTTTCGCATTAAAGAAGGGAGTTATATGGGTTTCCGCTCCCCCGCGCAGCAAAACGCTTCCTATCTGTCCCTCTGTCCGAGTGGAGAGAGGAGAGATGAATATCCGTCCGTCGTCCATCCATCCGTTCTCGATCCCTTTCTGCCTGGCGCCCTCACGCCATATATATAGAGTAGAGCGTACTATACTGTACAAATACACAAAGCCCCTTCCTGGTATTATAATCCCAACTCCCTCATCCGTAAACGTCATAAAAAAACACCTGTGAAAACCAGCCAAACATTCCAGCGCCCCGGTTCGTAGAGTTCTTTGTGCCATCCCATATAGATCAATCCATATGTGCATCCGTCTCCAACACACCTATATTTCGTACAAGTATGTCCCCGTGGGGACGATCACTGCTGACCCGGCCCCCAGTTCGACCAATCATGCGTCTCCTCAAACATCTGCATCTCCGCGGACGAACCAATAAACGGCATAAAGGTGTTCAGGTCATCCGTCGTAAACTCCATACCCTCGCTGAAGGCAAAGATGTCAACATCCATATCATTCGGAAGCAGGCCACCGCCGAAGTCCGTCGCGGGCGGGAACCACTGATTCGCGAGGTCGGCGGGGTTTCCGGTGCCCGAGAAGTCAGTAGTGGCGGTGGTAGCTGTCGAGACTGACGCGTTGTGCGTGTACGACAAGACTTGAGCGGATGAGGGCGAGGGGTTGCTGGGCGAGGGGTTGCTGGGCGAGGTGTTGTTGGTAGTGAGGTAGGGGCCGACACCGGCGGAGAACTCAGAGTACCAAGGTCCGTTGGGGTGGTCGGTGGTGCCGGCGGCGTCAGGCGCGGGTCGGGAGGAGCGACGGTTGCGGTCGGCGACGTTAGTCCTCTTGCCCTTCTTATGAAGGGGGCTTTGAGTAGGCTCCTCGAGAGACGGCTTGCCATGATTATTCATGACGAGATTCAGCAGCGGCACAATCAGTTGGGCCGCTCCTAGCCCTTCGCCAGTCTGGGGCATGGCGTTGGTCAAGCGCTGCTGGTGGTACATTGCCACCTTAAGGACGATCTGGAGGAACTTGCTCGCAGCGCGGTATTCGGTGATGCGCTTGAGACGGGCAACTGCCGTTCGGAGATAGTAGTCTATCTTGAGCGAGTCGGCGTCGAGGATCTTCCCCAGCTCAGAATCCGGAAGGCTGGCGTTGGCGTACATCTTGATCAGCAGCACCATGCCGTATGACATGCGGACAAAGTTGACGACGGGGTAGCATTTAATAACGTCATCGGGCATGCTAAAGAAGGCGTCGAGGAGGAGATGGGCGGACTCGATGACGGTCATGATAGCGCTCGCGCTGGCCATGGAAATCGGGCCTGCCTTTGCCCCGATATCAATCAATTCCTCTGGTTGGAAACCATCGGCATTCTTGACCATGATGGCATATTCCTGCAGGATAATTTTGTTCATATAGTAGTGAACGTCCAGACTAGCTGACAGCTGCGAGGGATCTATAGTCTTGCGAAATTCCTCGAGCCTGTTCTCAAAGCCCTTCAGGGTCAGCTGCACTCGCGGATCAGACATCTCTACGCGGGTGGACAGGTCGTCAAAGGCGAATACGGCAGCGCTTTCCTCAGTAATGTGCTGTATCTTCGACCATATGATGAGAAGCTTGTCTGACGGGAGAGCATAAGGAGAGTTGGTAAGGTAGTCAATGCATCCCTTGGTGAATGCGGAGAAGGCAAACATATTCGGCCTGCGCAGTGACATCGACACACTATCTCGAGTTAGCCACTATCATTCATCGGCCATTTCTAAGAAAATACCTTGCACAAATCAAATAACAGCTCAGGTGCGTCCTCTTGCTCTCTAGCACCAGTAGCTCCTGGCGCAGGATTCGAGCCGCCTCAGGGTCTGCGGGGGGTGGGTTGGTGTCTCCCATGTTCGAATGCGATTCCTGTCGGGGGGGCTTTACAAAACTATCCGCAACAACAGTTGGCCATTGGTGCTTTGAAAAAGGCCCTGGCAAATCTGGCTGTCCAATGTCCAGCGACATGGATGCTGCCATGTGCACATACTGGTAGAACTTGAGCGTTCTGAAGTCATTTGGTGGATATAGCCAAATACAGGTCAGCAGGAATGCTTGCACGAGCTCGAGCGATTTGTCGGAATTCATAATGTATCGATCAGCGAAAACTTGGAGGAGTTCTTCGTGCAAAGTGATATATATGTTGTGGTCCTTCTGTCCTGCTGCAGCAGCCAAGATAGTGAGGAAGAGTATTGGCTTCGACGAGCGAACAGACTCAGCTGTCTGCTCCGGGCGGAAGACGACTATTGGGCAGTGCACTATCATATTGTTGACGTAGTGATCGAAGTACTCCTGTGCCAGTTCCAATCCAATCAGGTCGCGCTCGATCACGTCTAGCGTCCTCTCTCCCGTATCAGAGGTCTCGCCATCCATATCGCCAGGTCCGCAACCCCAGCGAGGTTCTTGCATGGGTTCTTCGAAGGCGCTGGGATTCATTGCCATGTGGGGTATGGGCGCCCTCTCCAGAAACCCCTCAATCTCCTGGTCTTCGTCCACAGTGTTCATAGAACCCTGATTCGAGTCTCCCGAGGGCGACTGCTTGCTCTTGTTCAGCAGCGAGCGCATGGCACGCACCTCCCTCTCGAGCTCAGCAACCCTGGTGTCCGTCCTCTTCCTCGGCCGCCTCTTCTGGGGAGCGGCATAATGGCAGGTGCGTCCGTTCTTCGTACAGCGCTGACATCGTCTGGTGGCAGGGTCAGGATAGGGCAGGCAGCGCACTTTGAGGAGCCGACACGGCTCACAGGCCCGATTGACATGCTCGGGTTTTGTTGGCGCCGAGTCGGGTGTCGTCTGGGTTGGTGGCACAGTAGACATTGTCGGCACTAGATTCATAAGTTCGACATCTGATAAGATGTTAGCAAATTCCTTAGTAAGTGCCGCTCGTTACGAAGTTCTTTTTTGCCTCCTGCCTTGCTCTCGGCGCCAGTACACCTGTGTGGCAAAGAATGAGGAGGAACGGAGCGGGGTGGAAGAAAGATACGGGGACAGGGTTTTTTGGGAGGATAAGGCATGAGTAATAAAAGTGTCCATACGGTGTCCAAGTTATGCGCAGGGTGCGAAGTCAAAACAGGAAGATGACCGAGCGTGAGACGGCGGCCCCGCCTTCCTTGTTAGTAGGATGGTAGATAGAGTAGAAGAAAAAGATAAGAGATAAGAGTACAGAGTACGGGTACGAGTAGGAGTATAGCACTGTAGCACTGTGGAGTACTCTCCTGTTGTGTCTACTGTGGTGTTTTCTGTAATATTTCCCGTGTATTCAGGGTAATCAGATCCAGTGTATGCACGCCAAGCAGGTCTGTCATCTCATCGTGGGAGTCATCAAGTCATCTTCCCCAAGGCATCTTTCCAAACTCGTCGTTGACGTTTTCGTTGGGCGTCACAGAACGCGTTGATAGCGTCTTGGCGCTAATTATTAATTATACGGTGGATACGGCGGATGGCGGTTGGTTGGGCGTGAATGGCGCTTTGCAGCGGGCAGATGCTGACCCGCAGTGGTAATATTACCTAATGAGGTAATTGTGGAAACATTAATTGGGGCTGAGAATGGGAAAATCACGTGACTTTACATGTCTGGACGAGTGAAAAGACTGGTATGACGCTGCGGCCAGGTACGAGGTCCGCACCTTCCTGACATCCTTGGTGACAGGTGTCATCTCCGTATTAGAGTTTAGCATTCCGTATAGGGTAATTTCAAGCCTGTTGCTGTGTTGACGACAACACAGCTTTGACTCTAATCTGCACAGCTACAATGTGAGAACAAGACCACGAATCGGATTCAACTGATCCGACGTGCGCCACTCGGTATTCGGCCTTCGGGTACCGGGTAATTAAGGATAATTAGATGCTCTGAATGAATATGCATTGGCATCGGAGAATAATTCTGACTGTGGAAGTATGTGAATAAAAACCTTGCTTAATATTTTAAATATAGTTAACTTATAACTTAACGTTATGTTATAGAAAAAATAATAACTAATCATATTACTTATTCGAGATTTTGCTATCCAGTGACCCCCTCACCCTACTAAACCTGTCAAATAGCTGCAGATGGGATCTTACAAAGCCTATCTCGAACAGGGCCTCGATCTATGTCCCAAAATATACCTCCAAGAAGACCCAGACCCCCAAACGCAGGATGCTGATTACCCTGGGCGGCCGCCAGATGGTGCCAGCCAAGGCAGACAGTTTGATTACGAGAGAACAGCTTCCTCGAGCAACCCCAACCATGCCAGTCAAGGTACAGAGTCTGCTCGCGACTATATAGCTACTTCGAGCATCCCTATCCGATCCAGTCAAGACACACGGTTTGCCCTCCCGACCCCCTCAAGCAACCGTAGTCATGCTAGTCAAGACATGCAGGTCACTCCCGACGTCTTCTCAGCTTCTTCGAGCAACCCAACTCGCCCAAATCAAGATACACAGGTTACTCGCTCAATCCCCACCAGCAACTCCAGTCGTGACAGCCACGGCGATTTGACAACTTCCTCCAACAACCGTACCCAATCTACTCCGCGCTCCAACCCACTGTCCCACCTAACCCGCCCCTCAGAACCAAATCCCCTACCTTCACAGAGCCTCAACTCCAAAGACCGCAACCCATCGCCACCTCCCGCGCCACCACATCCACCAGGCCCCTGTCCTCCCTGCGCCAAACGACTGTGGTCGAAAGTTCTCCGCGCGCCGCCACCCCCTGAACCTCCAAGTCCACGAACCCCGGGACTATGGACAAAAGTACTCTGTTCGTCCACAACTCCCCCACTCGCGCCTGATCCCACCGAGCAGGAAGCGCCACGACCGCATGGGTTATTCACCAAAAGACGTAGATCTTCCGTTCCTCTGTTAGACCTGCCACCTGCCGAGTTACAGCCAAAGGTAACAGAAAAGGTGCGTAGGCAGGAGCGTAGACAGTCCTCCCCTATGCTCGTATCCACACGCACCGAGACCTGGCCCCCCAGGAGACGTCAAAGGTCTCACGATCCCCAATCCCCTCACCACCCAGACCCAGACACCCAAACCACTCTATCCCACTTTCTCCCGCGTCCGGTTCATTCCTCCTCCCCAAACCCCCAAACTCCCAACCACGCACCTCCCTCCCCTTCTCCCCCCTATCCCCTTACCACCAACCAGTACGACAACGACAACCCCTCCTCCCTCCTCCCCCTCCAACACCACCTAAACTACACCTTCACCTCCCCCACCCTCCTCACCCAAGCCCTCACCCCCCCCACCCCCGGCCACTCCAACAACGCGCGACTCTCCTACCTCGGCCGCAGCGCCATGGAGCTCGTGCTCTGGGAATCATGCTACACCCTCCGGCTTTCCGAGCGCGCGGCAAGGGAAGCGGTGGCGAGGGCGTTGGGGGTGGAAGCGCTGGTGGGGGCGGGAATGAGGTGTGGGCTTGGGGGGTGTATGTGGATGCGGGGGTGGGGGGGGGTGAGGAGGGTGATGGGGGGGTTGGGGGTTGGGATTGGGGACGGGTAGGGGGCCGGTAGATGGTGGGGTTTTGGGGGGAGAGAGAGTGTATGAGTTTGTAGCGTTTGTAGACAATTCAAACAAGAGTGCGAGATTCATCGGGCAGGATGTGCGGGATAGTGGGATTCTAGGAAAAATAAAACAAGTAAATAGTAGGACAAGTAAAATCTCAGCACCAACCAGTAAAAATTACTCTCCTATTTTTCGTCATGATCCTTAACTACCGATTGGAACGGATAGCAGCACGAAATGTTGTCGCGGCATGGGCGTGATGGCATGTAGTTAGGCTGCGCACTACTCGCTCAATACTCGGCTCACTCGCTCAGTGGGTTACTCAGCTGGGTGAGTAGCTGAACCTTTTACTCGACTCGGTGAGTGAGGTCAATACTCAGTTACTCTGTAAAAACCCGGTGAGTACTCGGCTATCACGTGTAAGATTTATGCATCATGTGAACAGTCCCTCATACGATTAATACTGTTTTATGGTTAAGTTAAAGTATTACATCTATTAGCATCACTCTCGCCATCTCTAGTAAGCTGTGAGAACGAATCATGTATATTCCTCTATCTAAGTACCATGATTATCAGAAGATTATTAGAACGCTATTATCTATTATATATGCTTAAGAACATCCCTCCACCTTGCTTGATGAGGCCGGCCAGACCTACTAATACCTAAAGTATTTATAGGGTCTTGATGAGGATCCTCAACTGAGCGGAACGAGCTATGAGTCAAGATAACTGTGTATAGAACTTGTTCATAAAATGTCTCTTGTGTGAGAATATGATCTTATTATAGGTATTAACCTACATAATTCTGGTAATAATCTGGTAATCCTTACTTGTTGAGGTTGCATTTGATTGATTCGCATTTGATAGAGACTATCCTTCCCATCTGTGACTTCTTTTTGCAAATGTTTGATGCAAGATGTGTTGCCATAGACTTTGGGCCAGCAGACTTGATTGCAGGATGCGTAAGGGCCTTCGAACAATAAGTACAAATAACACATGGTTCTCCAGAAAGCCGGTCTGCTCCTTGGTGATAACTTCTCCAGTATTGAGAACTCCAGTTGGTTGAATCCCATGCAATCTTCATAAGGAGTTTTGTAGTATGATCTGAGTGTTGTTCATACCATCGTGATAGCTTCCACCACTCAATGAATATATCGTGTGTATCCTTAGTCCATTTGACGAATTGGTTTAACTTGCCAATATATTCAAGGCCTGCAGGGACTTTGTAAGGATGCCTGTCCCTCAGTGATGGAAAGGATCTGAGTCGGGCAGGTTACGGTCACATGATAAGAGTTAAGGCAGGTTAGCTGAGTCGGACCCGTTTCGGGTACTTAAGGAGATTGACCCAACGGGGGTTCCTCTCTTCATCTTTTTAGTAGACCTATAGGATAGCATCCGTTTAGCCTCTGACTCGCACTCTCATATGCTATTACTGTGAGCTGGGTGCCCTGTGTCCTTACAGACTTGATTTAATGAGGATAGTCGTTGAGAAGACGGAAAAGAGTCTGAGAATACTGTCAGAATCAAACAACTCTGAGTATTGAGATGGCATTTGGCAAATTGCTCGATTATCAGAAGGTTACCAGAAGTCTGGCTACGATGAAGTACTTAAATACCTGGTTTTCCAACGCGAAAGGTACTCCAGCGCTATAACTTTAGCAACTCAAGTTCTCCTCTACTCTAGCTCCAGGAACAACATATCCTGTGCAGCTGATACCTTAGCCCACTTTTCCTTATCAAACTTCTTAGAGTAGACAAGTAAGAACACCTCTTTGAAGCTAGAACTATGAGTGGATATTTGCAACCATCCATTGTCGACAAGATTGTAAGACTTTGGGTACCACTGCACAGGTCCTGGTAATTAGGCCCACTTTCCAAACTGCCTGCTCGTACAAACAGAAATATTTATGTGGTGGGATAACCTCGTGAAAAGTGCTATAATAAACAATTAGTATTGCCAGAAGATTGCTAGGATGATCAGAGACGTACCCTTCCTCTACATCAATCCACGGCATATACTCAAAGAGACGCTCAGGCTTCTTTCTCAGCTTTCCAGCCTTTCTCGTATATGAGTGGATACAGCTATCCCAGAAATGTTGCCACTTGCGGAAATTGGACTCTTCATGGGCCTATCAACTATTAGTATCACCAGAAGATTACCAGATTATGAGGTAGCATACATCAATGTGCGCTTGAGTTAAGAGAGCCTGGGTGCTAGTGATCTCTTCATCGGAAAGCTCATCTGGTAGAACAGCCTCGTCATTTAAAATATCTCGCGCTGTAACATAAGCTCCAACTCCAAATCGTCTTCAACCTCAGTATCCTCCCATTCGCTGTTATGATTGTCATCGATTGGAATACTTGAGATACCCTCAAATGCAGCAAGCTCAGACAGAAGTTGTTTGGGCGGAGTAGATGGTGGGGCTTGTGGAGAAGAAGAGGCGCTAATATTCTTGACTTTCTGATTCGCAATGCAAGATGCATGGGTACCTTTCTCAGTCCTGTTTATAGTTAGATTGAGGCTACCAGAGATTACCAGAAGGAACTTACCGAACACAAATACGCTCAACCTTCAATTCATTCTGTAGACGTGTCTTGTCTTCAGTAGAGGCAGCGATATACTTTGTGTAATGACACAGGGCACCCAGCTCACAGTAATAGCATATGAGAGTGCGAGTTGGAGGCTAAAAGGATGCTATCCTATAGGTCTACTACGAAGGATACAAAAAAGATGAAGGGGGAACCCCGTTAAGTTTGTTTCCTTAAGTACCTGAAACGGGCCCGACTCGGTTATCCCAACCCTAGCCCTGAACCTTCCACCGCAACAGGTCCGCATCGACCCTGAACCCTACACCCTTACTGTCCCCCACTATAGTGTAACTCGCTATGTCCTCCTCTACTGGTCCGAAACCACACCGAGTCGGATTTCATGCTTGTGGTGACCGTAACAGCTCTGAGGCGGGTTCTTCGAGTATCTAGGTAAGGAGGCATCCTTACACTTTGCAGACTTATATAACTTCTTTAAGTAGTAGCTCAGATCAGCATGGTCAGCCTTGAGTGCTAAGTGAACAGCCTTCTCATCTTCAGTAAGGTTGGAGACGCAGTTGCGAGCTTTGATAGTATTCGCATTAGTGGAGAGTTCTTCATGTGCCTTGAGTTTCGCCATACTAACTAAACACGTGATTAGCAGAGATCTCCAGAAGTTCTGGCTATAGAATCAAGATAATAAACTTAGTTGAAGTCCTAGTGAAGAGGTAAAGGCTCAAAAGGGAAGAAGAATGTGTAGATCGGAGAGTAACCAAGGAAGGTGGTTCTAAGGTCGTGGTTATTTTAAAGTTGCAAACAAAAATATTTGTGAAGGAATATTCACCTACAAAGAATTACTGTTCCAAAAACAACACCACAATGCGCACCTTCATATAAAACACATACCTTTCAACCTCTACCTCTTTACTATACTCTTCTTCTGCAATATTCTTTCTACAAACTCACTGTAAGTACACATATCTTTTGATCTACTTCTTTATCTTGTGTTTACTTTACTAACTCACCTTGATATTAGCAAATGACTCGTACCAAGCAAACTGCTAGGAGATCAACTGGCGGCATAGCACCAAGGATGCCACTTGGATTACGGGCTGGCTCTGGGCTTGGCGGAAAGGGACAGGAAAAGGCTGTGGGCACAGCAAGAAAAGCTCCAGTTTGCTCATCTCAAGCTAGCAACAATCATGCTCAGAAGGCCACGCGCTGCACAAAGTCTAGTAAGAGGATTACCAGAGGATTACCAGAGGATTACCAGAACTCTCTAATAAACATATAGGCACCAAGGCTCTCCGCGATATCAGAAGACAGCAACTTGATACTAGCTCCCATTCCAGCGTCTTGTTAGGGAAATCACAGAAGACTTCAAGTCCAATCTTCGCTTCCAGCAATCTGCTATCCTAGCTCTTTAGGAAGCTGCTGAATGCTTCCTCATTCGAGAATTTGAGAGTATGATGTTTAAACATAGTGACAGGGACATACTAACAGTTATAGTGACAAACCTCCTCGCTATTCATGCGAAGAGAGTGACAATTCAGGCAAAGGGTATGATATTGGTTCGGCGTTTGCAGGATATGATGTTTAAGCTGTGGGCTTAATCGATGGAAATGTCTCTCACCCAGGAATGAAGGTCAGATGAGTTCTGGCAACCATCTGGTAACCTGGTACCTAAAGGCCAAAGGTTATAGTGTGGAATAGGACATCAACAATATGGGAATGGAGTTGGAGTTATGGCGTCTTGATCAATGAAGTCGCACCCCGTTTTTAACATAAGTAATGGCTAATCAAACACGTGATATAACTGAGTTGCCAAGACCCATACTAGGTACTCAGCAAGTGAGTAATCCTCATTCAACAATACTCGGGACATGAGCGAGTAACTCAGCTGGGTGAGTAAAAATTCTACTACTCGACTCGTGAGTACCCAGTGCGCAGCCTACATGTAGTCGATGAGGAGGGGTCGGGTGTCTAAGCAATTACCTCAGCTGAAACTGATATCCACCAATTGGATTCCTGATAACTAATGCGTTACGTCAGCCTAAACTGATGACTCAGCTGGACAAGCCCCTTACAACTGACATCTAGGGTCCAGATATCCGAAGCCATCGATATATCCGCCAATTATCAAAGGGTATCCGTGAATTGTAGGATTATGATAACCCCTGAATGCACTCCGTCCCTCGTCGAACTAACGTTGAGGGTGTCGTTCCCCCCCCCGAAAAATGCCTCCCCTCCAACTGCCCAGACGACAACACATCGTCGACTTGAACGAAGAGGATCATCACACAAGATGGTTGAACCTCGAGAATGATAGATATGGAAATCCATAGACCTCAAAAACCCCTGAATTTTCCAGCATCTCAGCTGTGATATGCACCTGTTCAGCATTTTACGCCTGACAAGCGGCTTGCACCCTGTCCCATGCACGGGATATCTCATATTTTTGGTCGAGATAAACTTCGAGTGTAGCAAGGCTCCTAAATCGACGCTGAAAACCGACACGAAAACGGGGTGGTAGCAGCGGCCGCAGGAGTCGCTTAGGAGTCAGATACGTCGGGGGAGGGAGGCTTGTGGCTGTTCTGATAATTGGAATGGCGGCTTCTCATTGGTCGTCAGTAATATCAGACTTCTCTTCCTCATAAGACCTGCTGTCCCCCCCCTTATCCACCTCTTTCCTTCCTCTATTATCATACACTTCATCCATATCTATCCATACTTCATCGATAAACTTTTTCCAAGTTAACCGGACACTTTTCGGGCCGTGGCACGTCTTTCGGAAGTGATAACTTTCGGTACCCTCCTCTGCACACTTGGTACCCTCGATCTGCTCATCTAGGCACCTAACCCCGCTCGTAGTATACTATTGCCTCTCATCATTTCATCAACCACCGTCCACCACAACAGCTTAACATCAAAGAGCTATCACTTTTAAAATGTCTCCACCCAATATGAGCACTTCATCCAGCTCACAGTCGTCCACGACGGCCGTCGGCACCCCCAGAGCCTACCACCGCTCCTCACCCTCGCTTACGCCAGAGCTGGCCTACAAGGTCGCCGCCTGGCTCGAGACACAACCACCCGTGTCTACCTACCGGCCCATGGCGTCGATAGACGCGGTGAGAAAGCATCCTCCTCCTCCTCCTCGTCGTCATGCAAGAAAAGTGTCCACTGGATACCCGACGTCATTGACAACGAGAAAAAGCCTCGTCGTCGCCGCAGCAGCAACCGGTCGAGTGAGAAATCCTCCTCGTCCAAGTCTCGCGTGCGGCAGTTAGTGCCAATGGCGCCTGAGCCACCAAGGGCGCACGCTCCGCCGCCGACGCCACGGTTCCATCGTCTGCCGACACCGGACTCTTCGGAGTTGAGTGCGAGGAGTTCTGCTACTGCTGCAAAGAGATTGTCGGGAGTAAGATGGAAGTCCAAAGTATACGTTTCCTCTTGCTTGCGTTACTGTTTGCTGACTTTGACAGTGGCTGCTGCCAAGTTTCATATTGTGTCTGTCAAGCAGAAGACGCGTAGCAGACATTGAGAGAGTGGATTTTTGTAATGATTATGATGTGATGAAATGTGGCAATGGTTCATATGGCGTTTCTTGGAAGGTTGTGCAGGTCAATTTTGCGCACTTGTGGTTTTGCCTGTTTCTTGCACTTGCACTGATCACGGGATTGGGGGATTCCTCGACGAGCTGGACTTCTCGCGTGGATGGGTAGCAGGACTTGAATATTTTGGTGTTTGGATCTTTTTGTATACCCCTAAGAGACTTATAATGAATGGAAATATCTTGCAAGTAACAGAAATGAAAGATTTTGACAGTAAACGTAAAGAAACTCATACTCACCAGCTTGGGACTGTGTGCACTGGAAATGGATGCTTGGCAGCACCAAAACCGTAAGTACCGAATACGGGCCGGCCCCAAAATATTTTATAGGTCCGACCGGGTATCCCGTAATGAATCTAGCCCCTGAACACGAATACATGATCATTTTATAATCCAGGGCGCTGCGTGCCGACTTTCCAGGGGTTGCCATTCATGGCATGTCGTTGAAAGAGCAGTTGTCTCATATCAGTTAAGCGAGCCGACGCGGGCTAGCGCTGCCGAGGGCTGATACGTCGGATCGGATAAATGAAGACCTGAGATATAGGGCAGAGATTCTTATCGCTTACCCACGGAGCTCTCTCGGACATGGGACTCCGCCATCGGTTCCCCCCTCCACCCCGCTATTTAATACAAGAACAGCACAACTTGCATTCAACAACCAATTTTTAAACCATAATACCCAAATAAACTCGTACTTTGCAATCGCATCTTTCAAAATGTCTGGTCAGGAGATCATCTATACCGATAAGGCCGCCTTCCGTAAGCCACACCCTTATCTCTATTAGCATAACCTCAACCTCAGCCCACCCACAACCCCTCCAATCCCCTCCAACCCCCCTCAATTCCCTCCTCCAACTGCCTCTACACGACCTCAAAACACCATACTAACCCCATCCTAGCTGCGGGCCCTTACTCCCAAGCCATCAAGACCGGCACCACCATCTACTGCTCCGGCCAAATCCCATGCACCCCCTCCGGCGAGATCTTCACCCAGCCCACCCACAGCATCGCCCAGATGACCGAGCAGTGCATCACCAACCTGTCTGCCGTCCTCGAGGCTGCCGGATCCTCGCTCAAGAAGGTCGTCAAGGTCAACGTGTTCATCACCACCATGGACAACTTCGCCGAGATGAACGGCACCTACGAGAAGTTCTTCTCGCACAAGCCGGCCAGGAGCTGTGTTGCGGTTAAGGAGCTGCCAAAGGGCGTGCCGGTTGAGATTGAGTGCATTGCCTTGGTTTAAGGAAGATGCGCGCTTGAGGAAAAATACGGAGAGGAAAAGGTGTGGGGTTGGGGGAGGGAAAATGCGAGATACTGGTAGATGTATAAAAATATGCTTCTGGCATGGAGATTAAAAATAACAGTATCCAGTCTTGTTATGGCGAATTTTACATGCTGCTATGAGATAATTGGACCTTCGAGGTGTAATCGGGTGCTTGTTGGTAATCGACTGTCCATATATGGTCGCCGCCTGGTTGGTGTACGAAATGGGTTAAAACCGAAGTGGAAGAATAAGTAAGCATGCAGCTGGGAACCGTCCCGCCTTGTCATAACTGCACATATCAAAGCAACAGTTCGGAATCAAGTAATATCTCAAAAGCATGCGGATGTCAAATTGTGCCCATTGATTTGTAGACGCTATGTGACTCATGCAAGAAAGCAACTCCAGCCAGGAACCCCGAAAGAAAGACACTTTACATGACGACACCAGAGTTGCTGGCAATACGCTGGGAAAATGTTAGCAGAGAATTTTGTGGATAGGAACAGATGTTCGACGTACTGGCCACAACTCAGCTGCCTCCTTTCCGACTGGTCCTGTGATGGCTGATCCCTTCATCTCACCCTTCGGGTTGACGATCTGTGAATAAATAGTTAGCCTTCTGCCTCTGCAAAGCCTTGTATCCCAGCAAAACCCTCCCCATCCATCCAACATCGATCGATTCCAACATCCTTCCCTCATCTATACAGCCAACAAAACCAACACCGGGACAGGGCTGTACTCACAACACCGGCGTTATCCTCGAAGTAGAGGAAGACACCATCTGTGCGCTTCCATGGCTTCGACTGGCGGACAATGACCGCGGGCATCACCTTCTTCCTCAGCTCAGGCTTTCCCTTCTTGACGGTCGCCATGACCATGTCACCGACACCACCGGCCGGGAGACGGTTGAGACGCGCTCCGATACCCTTGACGGAGATGATGTACAGGTTACGAGCACCCGAGTTGTCGCAGCAGTTCATGACGGCGCCGCTATAGTTGCGTTAGTACCTCTGTATCTTCCTTCACCACCAACCATCCAATCCGTCTCGGTATCGCAGTTCGATTCTGGGCCCGTCGCGGGGAGTATTCGAGGGGGGGACGTACACTGGGAGACCGAGGGTCATCTTCAGCTTGCCACCTGGGGCACCACGACTGCAAAAACGGTCAGCCAACTCCATCCACCACACAAAACATCGCGCATCCCCGGATCCGGCGCAAATCGGGGACACTTCGTACACGCCGTGTTAGCGGGAGTGAGAGGGCACACATACGAGATCTTGGCCATTTTGTCGGAGGTTCTTTGAGACTGGTGGTGAGTTCAAAGGGTCGTGATGTGCTGCTTGGTCGTCGTCGTGGTGAAGTTCTTTCGAGGTGCGGATTGGAGCGCGGATTAGAAAACCCTAATCTCTCGCTTACTGAGGACCACCACCACAATTTTCAAATTCCTTGGACAATGCTCTGTAAAGTGCTGCCAAACGTGTATTACGACTTTGTGTTATTCAAGATAAGTTTTCAATTATTGCAAACAGTAGCTAAATTATCACACTTGAAAAAAGCCGTTATTGCACTAGCTGTGGAGATCGAATTGGGTACATTTGATGCGAATGCAAATAGTTTGTTGTGGCCTGAGGCATACATTGTGAATTAGCAGAATACAAAATGACTGTTAACAAGAAACAAATCCACCTGACAGCAGTTCGATCGTGCAATATCATTCGAGGAGCCTATGTATGTGAATATTACCATTGGTATCTATTCTAGCAGGTACCAGCTAAGAGGCATCGAGATAAATCATTTGAACTCGAAACTCCTGATTCCATTAAAAACGGCCAAGGAGGCCCCCTCTACCCCTTTCATTACCATACGCCTGAAGCACCCTTTTCAGATATACCGTGAAATACATGAGCGCCGAAAACGCACGAAATAATGCTAAAATGTCCGCGCCAGTCCAGTGAAGGTATTCGAGATTGAGTTCATGCCTTCAAGATGTGTGTGAAGGCACAGGCTGAATGACTTATGACTCGTCCATCTTATCTGCCACTTCTGCTGCAACTTCGTCCTTTACATCCTCAGCATCGCGTTCTTCTGCTGCTGCAGACCGCACATCATCCATGGCAGTTGGCGTGGGTTTTGTTTCTGATTCGGACTCAGCTGGTGTAGGGGCCTCTACTGCGGCGGCAGCAGAAACGGGTGATATCGGCGGGGTCGCAACGGGTGCAGCAGCTACTTCATCGGCAGCAGCTTCCGGTATTGGCTCGTCGGGTGCCTTTGGTTCCATGACTGGCTTGTCCATGTCCACATCACCCATCGCGTCTACCTGAGCAGGTGATTCAGGTCGTGATGCTATGTTTGAGCTTGACGCGCCAGCTTCGGCGAGAGCTGAAAGCGTCGGGTTTAAAGATTTGCTTCGCATGACTTCTTCATTGACCTCTGCATTGGCTTCTGTCGCAACTGCTGTTGCTTCATCGACTTCCGGTGCGACGTCTGGAGTCTGGATCCCACCTGCTGCCTCGGAATCCACAGCATTTGCGTTCTGGTAGTCCATGATATTCATGCGTTTCGGCACTCCGTTTTGTGGGCGGACGCCATTGGCGTGTCCTGATTTTTCATCATCGCTCTCATCCAACTCATCGTCCCTGGTGATAGCTTTGTCCCATCGGCGCTCGGTATTGCGGACATCCTTGTTTTCGTCCTCATCAAGGTCGTCGAGCTCGGCCTCTTCCTCTTCAGTCATGCCTCCCATAGGTTCTCTGGGGACGTCTTGCATCTGGACAGACGGCGCGAACGTAGTTTTCTTCAAGTTTTCGATGACCTGGATTTTGATCTTCTCAAGGTAGTCATTGGAGTTTGCGTTCTCCATATTTGACGAACGAACATCCAGCTCGTAGTCAGGGCCGTAATACTCGTAATATTCGTTGAAAGGCAACACTGCGTTCATCTCTTCGCCGACAAGTAATCCGGTCTCGTAGGCCCAGGTACGTGCGACGTTTCTCATGGTATAACCACCTCCACCAAGGACCAGGGTAGGAAGGCCAAAGCTCTTGACAAATTTGACGCAATTGGCGTGACCCCTCATGCTCAGATTGAAGCATCCGAGACGGTCGCCCGATAGCGAGTCTCCACCACATTGTAAAACAACAGCCTCGGGCCTGTAGTACTGCATGACTGCGGATATAACTGGCTCAAAGATCGACTTGTAGGAAGCGTCGTCGATGCCGTCGCGGAGAGGGAAGTTTACAGCGTAGTTTTTGCCCTGGCCGACACCAATATCGCGGAGTTCTCCAGTTCCAGGGAAGTACTCTCCGTACTTGTGGAAGGAGCATGTCATCACGCGATCGGTAGTGTAAAATGCTTCTTCGACACCGTCGCCGTGGTGGACATCGATATCGATGTAGAGAACTCGCGACTTGAAGCGCAGAAGTTCGATGATTCCGAGGACAATATCTGCATGGGTCAGAAATGAATACAGGGGGGTTATGCGACAATCTCACCATTGATGTAGCAGAAACCACTGGCCTCGCTCTTCTTGGCGTGATGGAGTCCACCCGCCCAGTTGACGGCGATGTCGCATTTGCCTCGGTTGAGGCGTGCGGCGCCCTCCATGCTGCCACCAGCGGAAATACCACAGAACTCGAAGAGGCCATCGAAGACAGGGCAATCATCGCCGACGTTGAACTTGCCTTGCTCTTTCATGAAGGCGTCCATATTGTCAGGCGTAACCTTCTGGAGAAAGTCGACATACTCGTCCGTATGAAATTGGGTCATTTCATGCTTTGTAGCTGGTTTGGCTCGCTGAATGCGCGTATTAGTAGATGCAAATCAGACAGGCGCGTTTAAAAGGGATGCTGGACGAGGTGAAAGGGCGGCATGGTCCAAGGATGACCGGGCGCAGGCGACTTACATATATTTCCATCTTCTTGTACGTCCCATAGTTCATAATCAGGCTATGGGCCAACCTTATGCGATGAGGCTTCATGGGATGGCCTGCAACATATGCATAGTTTCCGACATCAGAATCGTAGAAGTACGCGACCTTCTTCTTCGACCCCCCTCCATTGGTGGAGGGAGGGTCGATTGGAGCGAAGCCCGCCACCATGGTCCTGTTATCTTGCGCCCAGTAGTTTAAGTAGTCCGAGTGAAAGCGGTCTTTGTTCCCCAAATTCCAGAATGATCAAGAATTGAGGTGGGAGGCACAATCAGGACGTTTGTGCGCAGAACGGTAGAATCGTAGATAGAAACGAAGCTTGGGTTTGTAAAGATGAAAGAGGATGAGGCGGCATTCGCGTGGCTTGTGGAGTACTGGACTCCTGATGGTCCGGGCCCGCTTTAGTTTTGGTTTGGTCGTCCTTTGACACCAACAGCCTCGTTCACTGTACGGGCTTTCTTTCAAGTGAATTTAAGAATATAAAGAGGGTACAAGATGGTCTGAATAAAAACAATAACCCTTCACAATGTGAATCTACCTGTGTGAATAATGAAATCACCCAAAGCTGTGAATATGTGAATATATGTCAGTTCGCAGCCCTGTCGCGGATATAGTGACCACAACAGATCCTCAGCCTTGCGCTACTGCACGTGACAGGGCGGTGGATTACACAGTGAACAACCCAACGGCGTAGCCTTCGCGTCCCAAGCTGCCTTGTAGCTCTGTTCTGCGACCACAGCTGTAATAACTTTCCAAATCACCACCTTACCCTCACCACCAACAAAACTCACAAAATCCACATCATAACCCTCAATCCTACGCCTCCCGACACATACCGAAGATATGGACAGCAGGTTAAACCGCATGCTGGCGACAGCCGGCGGGATGGGAGGAGGAGCAGCACCAGGCTCTGTAAGTACAGCACCACACGAGACATTCAACACACAGAGATCTTGCGAATACATCAACGAAAGCCGTCACATATGGAACAAGCACTAATGGATTCTGGCTAGGATAACACGAGCTTGATTGATAACTCCGAGACCGTCTACATTTCCTCGCTCGCCCTTCTGAAGATGTTACGGCATGGTCGCGCAGGTGTCCCCATGGAAGTCATGGGCCTGATGCTGGGAGAGTTTGTCGATGACTTCACAGTTCGCGTGGTGGATGTGTTTGCGATGCCCCAAAGCGGAACCGGAGTCAGTGTCGAGGCTGTCGATCCAGTGTTCCAGACAAAGATGATGGATATGCTGAGGCAAACCGGGCGGTTCGTCCATCCCATTCCGACCTATTACAACAATCAACTGACTTGAGTATTTAGACCGGAGACCGTAGTAGGCTGGTACCATTCCCATCCCGGTTTTGGCTGCTGGCTCTCGTCCGTTGATGTCAACACACAACAATCCTTCGAGCAGCTCAACCCCCGCGCCGTCGCCGTTGTCGTTGACCCCATCCAATCCGTCAAGGGCAAGGTCGTCATCGACGCCTTCCGCCTCATCAACCCACAATCTCTGATCCACGGCCAGGAGCCCCGTCAATCGACATCTAACTTGGGTCACCTCAACAAGCCCTCCATCCAAGCCCTCATCCACGGCCTGAACAGGCATTACTACAGCATCGCGATTGCCTACCGCAAGACGGCGCTGGAGGAGAACATGCTGATGAACCTGCACAAGCACGTCTGGACGGAGGGACTACAGATGGATGATTTCCGCGTTGAGGGCAAGAAGAACAATGACCGCTTGCAGCGTCTCGTGGGACTGTCGGAAGGCTACGAGAAGAGGGTGAAGGAGGAGACGGAGTTGACCAAGGACCAGCTGAAGACGCGATACGTTGGAAAGCAGGACCCTAAGAAGCATCTCGAGGACGTGGGACAGCAGCTAATCGAGGACAACATCGTGTCGGTGAGCAGACAGATGATTGATAAGGAGGCGAGTGCGCCAGCTAAGGAGAAGACGGTGAATGGGGAGAAGGTGGAGACGGATGAGGATCTGTGAGGTGGAGATGGGGAGTTCACCTTTTGTAATGTACTATTCCTGGCGTTTGGGATCCTCTAGCTAGCATAATAGAGAAGCAGGTCTGCATGGGCACGTTTGTCGTACATCAGATCCTTGCCCGCAGTGTCTAGTCTATGTGAGTATAAATACGCAACTAAAGTGCCGAGAGACAAAGTCATGGTGATATCAACCGCGTGTGCCAAAAATCCACTATTAGGGAGTGAGGCAGTGGAAATGCATCGTCATGTTTGGTCTCTGAAACCATTCTAGGGCGGCTCAGCGAAAATATCAATGTCGTACCGACAGGAAGTGATCCTAACGGCGACAGCAGCACTGTGACAATCCAAGCAGCGATATCAGCAAGGTGGTGACAGCAGCAACGGGGTGACAAAAATTGAATATCTCTTTAGACAGATGTTTGAACAGAACCGTCGTATCTACGGTAGAACCGACCACAGAGCTGCTTTTCCACATTTGAGTTCCACCGCCGTTCACACCGGATTACCACGGAAGCCTCTGGGATGTTCAATCCTGTGCCACTGGTTCCTGGGGTAATTGGTAATACTTGTGTCCCTATTTCTTGTTAACAAACGCCACTGTTGAAGGGGAGATTTGCTACCTGGCTAAGATTGTTAGAATATCTCTAAAACGCTCGTCCGATCCTTCGGTGGAACTTACCCATCAAACTGCACAGACATTATCCCCATGTTCACAGTACGAGGTGCAGGGGCTGAGATGCAAGAACCGAGACTTGGGGAATGAGCGCCTGGGCCAAAAGCCACCGACCAGGCCGCGAAAGGGCATTTCATCTGTACGCAATAGACATCCCTTCAGGATCATAAAACTAGCTAGGAGATTGTATTTGCGATAGCTTCAAAACCGTTGCCCATATCATGTTACACTCACCAAAGATCTTGAAGGGAGATCTCTCGTAGTGATGTAGATCGTGGGTATAACCGTTTGGGTATTAGAAATGTGGAAAGTCGAGGGACACCCAATATTAACTTGGGAACATGACGGCGCGAACATATAAATGCAGAAGCGTTGAGGCGAGAGCATGGACATGGCAAAAATAGCAGGCCAAAGAGGCAGCTATAAGTAGTTGGCGGTATACGTCGATTTGAAGGTTACGTGAGGAACTTCGAGGACCTTCCTGTTACACGCTCGATGGCAAGAACAAGCGGTAGTGAGAAGGCTTGAGGTGGGGGACGGGGTGACAGCAGCATTAGATTGTTGACAATACCAGCGGGAGGAGGAGTCACAGCAACTCAGAACGTTCCATTTTCATAAATATATTGAAATTATTACTCCACCCAGAAATGGCGCCTGCAAATAAACTCCGCCGAGCCTGAACGCCATCATCCCACACTACTATAACATAAATATATACAACTCTATATCCGATGGATATTATATATACAACGCAAGCACCTCACAGAGCTTGTACTCCATTCTCGCATCTAATTCTTCTCTACAATCTCTCTTGGCGTCGGTGACCTCGAAGGCTCATCATGATAACCCTCCATATCCTTCAACGTCGCCACAGCATGTCCCTCAGGCAACATATTCAGCTCATCCTCCTGAGCATCCAAGCTCCTGAACTGCCACCAGAACATGGCCCCTCCAAAGAAACTGAGCACAGCCATAACACCGTAGTTCCACACTAGCAACGGGTCCGCGCTGAGAGGATTCAAAGCCTCACAAATAGCAGCGGAGATGGCGTTGGTGAACAGTGCGACGGCCTGCACGAGCGAACGCATGTTGCGCGGAGCCTTGCTGAAGGCATACTCGAGCGATGTGATGGAAGCCAGGATCTCGGAAATGGCGATGAGGATGTAGGCACCGGTCTGAGCCCAGACGTTTATGGTGGCTGGAAGTGGGCCACCGCTGTCAGTGTAACAAGTGTTGGCGTTATAGCCGCAGGGGGATCGCTGGTAGATGTAGTGTTGAAGGACGGCGGACCAAATCATGGCGGCGGTGCCAAAGAAGAACCCGGCTGTGATCTTCTTGATGGGCGTGAAGCGGATGCCGGCTATGCGGAGGAAGGGATAGACGAGTCGGTCGCAGAGGGGAATGAGGATGATAAGGGCGAGCGGGTCAAGGTTGGTGAGGATATCGGAGGGAAGGCCGTGTAACTGCATCGTCCCGGCTTGCGTGGTTAGGTTGTTGATGATTTGGTTGTACGTAATCCAGTATAGGGGGTACCAGGCGAAGACGGCGCAGGCAGCAAATCCACGACGCACTTCGTCCACCCATTGGTCGTCGAAGGTCATCCACGAGGGGCGGTTCTCAGGGGCGATAGCGGATGGCTTGACGGATGCCCAGAAAGTCCCGTCGTGCATGAGCTTCCATGTTCTGACGGGGTTGATGCTCCAGCGACCTTTTTGAGCGAGCATAAGAATATTGAAGGCCTTGGACAGGATGGAGCCCTCAGGTGCGGCTTGACTGTAGCGTTTGCGACCCCAGTACATTACTCCTGGAGTGAGGAGGAAAATGAGGGTTGGGAGGAGGAACGCAAGCCAGAAGCCGACATACTTCTCGGCATAGACCATAGAGATCTGGCCGATGAGGGAGCCGATATTGATGAATAGGTAGAAGTAGTGGTATATGCGTGACTGGGTAATCGTAGGGTCGATAATGACGCGTTCGCCGGAAGGCAGCGTCTTGACAATGAGAGTCGTCACCGGGATTTGCTCCACGATGAGGGTCGAGATGTTGGGTTTGAACCCACCAGTGCCGAGGCCCATGATGACGATACCAGTCATGAAGGTTCCCATAGCCTCATTTGTGTTGGTAATAACAGCTGGGACAGCTGAGACGACCAAGACGATGTGCCCGATGATAGCAATGCCAATGGAGACACAAATAGCCTTGTAACGTCCCCAGTGTGCGTCAGCCATATAGGCACCGAGCAACGGTGTCGTATAACTAGAATGAGGTTAGTAGGGCATAAATACGACAAAGACTCCAAAAAACCAAAACTCACATCCATAATGCATTGAAAGTATTGATTCCATTGGCTGTTGCAGTCCCTTTTCCTAAAGCTCCAGAAATGCCTTGATCAGAGGGGCCGCCGGCTCCTGTCTTGGGGTTAGAGCCGGGGAGGCTTCCGTTGGGAAGTGGGCGGTTGATGAAGTTGGAGACTGCGGATTGTAAGCATGGGAATAGACGAGCCGGAAGGAACGGATATACATACAGACAACCTGAGTTCCGTAATAGCTGAAGCGTTCACATAATTCCACAAATGCAACGGTGTAGACGGTCCAGGGGATAGGGGCGGACACTCTCCTCAGAGCGTTCTCCCCCTCAAGCTCATCTTGCGTGGGAAGGTCCTCATACACTTCCACTTCGCCTTGGGCTCTATCAACGCCTTCATGACCGAGTGGCGGCTTCTCATCAATCGGCTGCGAGGCGTTTGGCTCGGCGGCCAGCGTTCCAGCTTGGTAATCGATATCCGCGGGCATGACGGCTGGCTTCAACGAAAGCTGTCTTTGGGGAGAGACAGCAAAAGAAAATGCTTGGGAAATCGACAGGAAGTGTGGGGAGACTTGGGGCTATATACTGGAGCAACCATGTTATGGAGAACCCAGGATAGCGCGGCACCAGATTTAGCGACAGTATGAGATATCACCCACCTACCTGTAGTCTTATCTCCGGAGAGAGCGATGTGTGAGCCACGGAACTTATGGAGGGCGGCAGGATTCTAACAAGATATTGGAGCCTCATTGGTTATTTCGACGGCGGTGGCCACAAGTCTCGCGGAGCAACGTAGTAATGTAATGACACTAGGTATGTCCGGTGGCGACGATCTCGAATTTTGCGCGTAACACTAAGGGTAAGGGCTATGCCGCCCCAAAGTGGACATAATAGGGACACGAGAAAGTTCTCCATTCAGATTCAGTTTCAGGGTGGTGCATCGGGTGTACCTCGCTCATCTCTACTTGCCACGCTACGCCCATGCCGAATCGTTGTTCCATCGATGAACATTCCCAACCATATCTCTCTACCTCCCATCATTGGCCACCGAAGTCTCGAAACCAGACTTCTACCCGAAATACAGTCTCTACATCGGAAATCCTTGATCGCCAAACGATGCCACTGGCTACTCCTCAAGCCCCTAGAATAATCGCCACATAACCAGAGGACGCTAGACATTGTAGCGCGCCCGACGCCGAGCCATTACCGCATACAAAAATTAATCAAGCTTCTAGAAACAAGTACCGCCAGCTCTTGCCGAACCTTAGCGCCGGTGCGACCTACTGTGTGCATAGAGATGATGATGGTGAAATATCTGGAGAGCCCGACGAAAGCCGTCAATTCTCCCCAGATGTCACTGCGGGCCTGTAGTGCTGTCATTTTTGGACGTCAGGCTGCGTGGAAAGGATGCAAGGTGAGCAAGTGATGATCCTTCTGTACCACCTTCCCACCCCCTCGCTGGATTCCGCTCTCCAAACGATCCACAATGCCAATGGAACAAAAAATCAAGAGAGAACAAGTTGTAGCCGTCAGCTCTGAGCCTGGGCATGTGTTACAGGAGATGTTGGAGCACACATATCACCCCAGATACCCCTCCTTCGCCCCAGAATCACGCGGAGTAGGTTCCTAGACCGCGGTTCATAATGCGGAGGAGAAGGGGGATATCTTGTTCTCATGCGGGAGATTTTATGAAATACGGCCTTGAATACTTGGTGTGATGAAGGGGCTCCCTCGACAAGTGGTTCTTCTCCATATCTACAAGTTGAGCCGCCGCTATAAAATGAACACGCAAGCCATTCTAAATCAAACTATTTCGGGGCTGGGGTTTCCAAAACGTAAGCGCAACGAAGCCTCAACGAGAGGATCAATCTGGCTACAAAGGATTTAGGTCTCAACATCATCCACTTGGATTTTATAGTGAGGGGGACGTTGCGTAAGGATTATTGGGAATATAGATCCATATCCTAGTCCTAAAGGAATTTATATAACTTATCTGAGTTTCACTGAATTTCCGAACAGAGCGAACTTTGAATTTACCAAGTCGAGTAGAAATACATCACTATTCTCGGGCTCATGAGATCTTTGACAATGGTATAAAGCCATCCCCCAAGCTCCCACCTCCTCCGGTGGTGAGAATCATCGAAGATGTTGGCTTGGGAAAGACCGTGGGGTGCCTTGCCATCCTTCAGGACACGATTATCGTCGTTTCCGACACCATGCCGGTGTCATCATCTGGGGGAGCGTTCTCGGACACATGTCAGTATCAGCGGCAGCAGCGACCTGGTGACACTAACCCAACGGTGACAGCAACAGCAACGACGACAGAGACAAACAGTACGACAACAGAAATCAGCAACAACAGTAACTCCGTAACAGCACTAAAGCTGCTCCTGGTGATGCAACGTATCACACAACTTATTCGTAGCTTATGATGTCCCACAAAAAATACAGAACCGCAGCGCACAACCACAACGATGTGAACCCAGTGTCAGTCTGACTTGGAGTTTAATGTGAAGACTGGACAGTCCCACGGATATATATATTTGAGAGTGGTTGATAGGAGAAAGAAGGATCGGGGCTGGGGGTAAATATGATTGCACAGGTGGTGCAGACCATGGCCCCGCTGGATTGATGACAAGGAGTAGGATGATAGATAGAAACCAGAAAAGCAAAGGTCGTAGATATATAATCGGGGGGGGAAGCGGTTTGCGCCACCTCAACTTGCATACGTTCACCGCTACTCCTTACCAAAACCTTCGGCATTCCCCCCCATAGTAATTTATATAGTAATTAAATGTAATTCATTTAATGGAAGGGACTTCTCTATCAGATGCCTGTGAATGGCTTGCAGCAAATCCCTCTGGATCTGTAGCTGTTGCAAGTCGGATTTTTAAGATCCCAAGGTCGACTATACGGTCAAAAATCAGCCGCACAAGAACCACTAGAACCACCAGAACTACCCAAAATGGGGGTCAGAATAGGGTGCTTTCTACAGCTCAAACAGAAGCCCTAAAGCCCTGGATTCTAGAGCAGTATCACCTAGGATTAGGGGCTAATAGGCATATGGTTTACGGGGCAGTATGCCACCTACGGAGCCCACTGCCTCCACCGTCACAGAGCTGGCTCACTAAATATATATGGAATGAGCTTATAGAGTTTCACTTTGTTACTACAAAGCCTATTGCACAACAGCGTACGAAAGCTCAACAGGAGCCTACTGTTATTAAGTGGTTTCAAGAGTACACAGCATTAGTACTACAGCGTGGTATAAAACCAGAGTCAATCTGGAATATGGACGAAACTGGTTTTAGGATCAGAATTCCAGGAGGTGAGAGAGTTATGGTCCCCCGAGCTGTAAAGCAGCTCTACACTCCAAGCCCTGAGAATCGTATATCTATTACGATTATAGAGGCAGTATCTGCAGTTGGACAGAAGATTGCACCTGTACTTGTTGTACCGGGTAAAATTCATATGGAGGCGTGGTACCCTCAAAACCTTGATGGGAATGAGCTGATACTACTCTCGGAGACTGGCTATTCTAATAGCCAGCTTGCTATACGGTGGCTACAGCACTTCGTAGAGCTTACAGCTCCACACGACCCGGGAAATCCTAAGGTTCTACTACTCGATTCATGTGAGCCATATGAGCCCTGATTTTATCATTATGGCTAACGTGCATGTATAACTAAAGTGCCAAACAAGCGAAAGTGCCAAAATATCGCGACTACCCCATAAGAATTGCGATAAATCCACCACAACAATATAAATTAATTAAAACTACTCGGAGTCCTCTTCCTCAGACCTGTCTATTACAATCTGACAAGTGCGCGCATTGTGTCCAGTCTCACCACACTTGCCACAGCGACGTGCATGGGTTTCTTCCCTTGGCTTCCGACCACTACTTGCCCTTATTTCTTGCTCTACTTGCTGCACAACGTCCCTCTCGTCCTGTAGCTCCTTGTAACGCTGACTTCTAAATGATAGAAGACACAGAGGTTTCTTGCGTAAGGTTGACTTGACAGAGGAGTGTTACGACGGAACAAGAAGGCTGGCCAACTACAGGACAGGAAGAAGGGAGGTCGCATGAGACTGGCCCTGGTACCTGGAGGGGCAGCGGGGAATAGTAGTTCTGAAAGTATCACGTGACGGACTCGCAGGATGATGAGAAGAGTCCTAAGAGTCCAGGACTCCGAGGACTCGAGTGAGTTCCCAGGAGTCCACTAGGCACGTGATGGACTCGCAGGATGATGAGAAGAGTCCTAAGAGTCCAGGACTCCGAGGACTCGAGTGAGTTCCCAAGAGTCCACTAGGCACGACGCCACTATATAAGTAGATAGTATTTCCTTAGATAGGAGCTTCGTGCTCAACTCAATACAGTATTTGTTATATACTAGTAACGTGTTACTTGAAGCCTTTGTGTCTGATCCCCTGCCTCCTCTGATAAGTAAACCTTTACGCAAGAGAACCTCTGTGTCTTCTATCGTTTAGAAGTCAGCGTTACACTTTGAGCACCACTTCTACGAGGTACCGGCTTACACACAAAGCAACATGTCTGTCGTCAGTTCGAAGGGGAAAACCCCCACCACGCCAACTTCGTCTCAGAGGTCTAAGCCTGAGAATGAAGAGATGCCCGATGCACCCACCGTCAATGAACTCAAGGAAACTCTACGCGTCAAGTTGCCCGACACTTACTCCGGCAACCGAAAGGAACTTGAGGTGTTTTTGCTACAGGTCGAACTGTACCAGCACTTCAATGATGAGAAGTTTCCCACCCAGGAGAGCTATGCCCTGTGGACTGCGTCCTACCTTAGGGGGGAAGCCCTGCGATGGATCGAACCATTCCTCAAGGACTATTTCAAATATGAAAGTACCAATGGAAGCATGACAACTACGCAGACTATGTTTGGCAGCTGGAATGGATTCTGTAAGGAAATCCGACGCATGTTCGGAGACATCGATGAGATTAAGACCGCAGAAGACCATCTGTTTGCACTTAAGCAGACTGGCAGCGCCCTCACATACTCCACAGAATTCCAGAGATACGGCAATCAGACAGGATGGGACGCCAGCGCACTCATCAGCCACTACCGACGTGGGCTGAAGAGCCATATACGTATGGAACTTGCCCGTTTGGAACAACAACCAACGGACATGGTAGCGCTAATCGAACATACGGTCCGAATCGACAATCGACTATACGAATTCCAGAAGGAACGTCGGACCTATGACAAGCCCAAGAAAAGTTACCCCTACCGGGGAAACGAGGGCAGACGACGGGATCAACACCCACGAGACAACCGTTGGTCGGACCCAATGGAACTCGATGCCACGTTCAAACCTGGATGACCCCGTGACCCTAAGAAAGACAGACAATTCAAGGAACGACTCTGTTTTAACTGCGACAAGCCAGGCCACATGGCCCGAGACTGCAGACAGCCAAAGAAAGGGAACGGCGGACACAAAGTCGGCAAACAACTCAATGCCACCT